GAAAATCCCCCAGTGGGTTTAGGATCCTGGAAGGGGAGACCCGCAGTGAAAGAATTTGCCCAAGTATCTTCAGGGTCTCAAAAGCGGGTCGTGGCTTTTGCCTTTTCGTTTGTAAACTGGTTCCTCCACATACAACAGGCTCATGTAAACCACAAAACAAACATCTGGATGACAACACTGAACACCGGCTTCATTCAATAAGCTATTCAACACTGAGTTTTTCATTACTGATTTTAAGTTTTTGAACTGAAGAGGAAAAAATTCACTGATCAGCATAGCTGCTGCCTTGCTAACATAGGCAAGACTGTGCTGTACTTAAAGGTTATTTTCTTGTAGATTGCACTGTTGCCTTTCGCAGCGGTAGGACCTGAGGGACATGTGTTTCCTTGTGTGTGTGCTGGAATTGTAGCCAGCAGTGTCCAAATATCTTTGTCACTGTTATAAGTGATTCTGAATGTAGATGTTTGAAGATTAATACGTATTTGTCTTTCATTTATGTGTGCAACATATCTTTTCAAAAGACAGTTTGAAGCAACTCACGGTTTCCACCAAAGACTGAATGATGAAAGTAAGAGGTTAACAGGGTCTAACTTCAATCTAACAGGTTAATAAGGGTCTAGTTTCAAACCCTGAACCCATACACCAGGGCTGCCTACAAACAGGTTTCATCCACAATCCAGCAGGTGTCAGAAGCCCTGGACTTACATGGGTATTGGAAAATCCCCAAGGTAATAGCAATGGGAGGGCCTGGAAGTTTTAAATTTGGCTGCAGATGTCAAAAACAGAAAAACAACAAAAAAAAAAACAACCCAAACAAACCCAAAACAAACAAACAAAACCAACACAAACCCAAAACCAAACAAAAGAAAAAAGAAAAGAAGCAAAACAAGCCAAGATGAGTGTAGGACATTTAGATTACACAGCAGTAGGAGAGGATTTGACTTGGTAAATTAGAAATTTTGAAGATAAAGTCACTTACTATATTTGAGCGGATAGATACCATTATAGCCTTGCCTTTTCTAAAAACGTGTTTTTCATGTTTATTCATATGCACAAGGGAAAAAATCTTGATCTGTGCCTCTGTGCCTATTACTTGTGCAAGTAATTCCTCGCGGCGCAGTGAAGGCAGCTGTAAAGACTCCTTGCACCATTAAAGACTCATAGGATGGGGCCCATCTTTTGTTACGTATGTTGAGGCTGAGCTCACTGTAACGAGGAACTTTCACAACTTTTAAAATACTGAGAAACAAGTATTTCATCTTAGATTTCGCCCCTGAAGTCCATCATTACCGGGTAACTAACAGTTCCCTCCAAAGAGAGCCCACAATGCAGAAGTATATTTTCAGACATTCAAGAGCCTGTCAACGTGACACCCACTCTTCCAGGCAAATTCATTAGGCCAGAATTAAATACTTACTGTGGAGGAAAATATAGGAAGAGAAACTTCAGCCTTTGTCACCCATACTTTTGTTAACCTAGACTTTGCCAGATTTGCAGCATGTCACAACCGGTGCTTGCCGGGGCCATTGAGGCACCAGGAATGCATTCGCTTTGTGAAGTAGTTTCCGCTTGCATGTGACAAAGCAGCTAGCTGGCTAGTCAGCCTCAGTCAGTGTCTATTTATGGCAAAATGTCAAAAAAGAATGTCCTGCATTTGTGGCTCAACAATAATGAACATGGCTAAATCTGAAAATGAACAAAGGGAAGTGAACAGCTTTTTAAATCCTGAAGAACATTCGATTCTTGGTGTCCTTTTTGTTCCGATTGTTTGGGCTGAAGGCTGTGAAAGGACCACCTGTTGGGCTGCCATTTTGGGATTGTGTTAAATGCAGTGATTGCATGAAAGAACACTTTCCAAAATAACCTGGTATTATTATTCACTTATTTTATAGTAAATCTGCATTCAGAACCTGCAGGAAAGTATAAGGCTTTTTCTCTAAGTGAAATCTAAAGCTGTAAGTTCTCTATAAACGTGCTTACTGTGGATGCATGATTTTATAGTGACAATCATGATACTTTAAAAGCTCAATTAAACCTTTGATGCAGCACTGAGTTTCCCTGTAACAGAAAACAAATCTTTTGCAGTAATAAATATAAGAAGAAGGAGAGATGAAGTTATACAGGGCTGAATATCTCTGAGGACTAAATTAGCAAGGACACTTCACAAAATGTAACTTAAATATTTATTTTGCTCTTGGCACAAACTTGAAACTTTTAGTGACGCCAATTATTTTTAATGTCTATAAGAATGTTCTTGGGTGTAATTTGCTTTTGCTCAAAAGACTGCACTGAATTGCATTAGAATCTTAGTGAACTTTTGAGAAGGTTTACCATAAATCAGTATAAACATTTAATTTAAAAAATATAAAATACATATTCATTTTTCTAATGGGCTGTTTTTTTTGGTAAAAGATACTTTATACAGTCAAGGGATAATGATTATTTACATAATAAAACCAGGGGAAATGTTGCCCAAATTAAAAAAAAAAAATCATTTTTGTTTTATAAACATCAAGTCATACAGCTGTTAGTTTTTAAGGTGAGACAGATGAATCCTTTCACACAGTTTAGCATCTTTAATATCTTTTTATGAATTTTAGCTGGGAAAGAACTTTAGAATTGGAGCTGAGTTATGCAGTTAATTGGAGGGATAGCAGAGAGGGAAGTCTACATGAATAGCTGGATATATTTCCAACTGCTTTCACCAGTTTCAATCACGAAAGTTATAGCTAAAACCCAGGAGATAAATCTCTTGGGTTTTGCATATTTTTCTTCCTCAGAATAGTGAAGGCAGTTGTACATCTGAAAATGATCTATAAATACATTTGTTTAATATACATAAGGGAGAGCTTATTTCCTGGAAACCCCTGTATATTATATACTAGCAGAAATGACCCTTAATGTATCAGTACCACTACCTTTAAAAGTTAAAACATGATTTTAAATATATGGGTTAAAGTGACTTTTAGAAAATTATAGTTTTGTTGGTCAAACAAAATTGCTAGCCAGGCAGATTTTTACATGTGGATTGAACTATATTTCATTTCCTACATTAGAGAAGAATGAGTTTTGTGTGACTATCAGTTCAGAGGGGGAAAAGGTGAAGTGGAAGAGCATACAATGCACAAGTATAAATTAATGTCTGGGTTTATTGTTCACCATGCTGTAAAGAGTATGTACTACACACAGCTATTCTATTAGGGAATTATGGAAACTGAGGCTCGCAAGCAAAAATTACTTGTGTCTGAATAAAAATATATATCTTTGGGAGACATACAATATGTTTGGAACCCTGAGGGTTAATGAGAGGTAAGCTGGTGAAGGGGGGAGAGGAGATAAGGGAAATAACAGAAGCTGAATAGATGAAAGAAGTGATTCAGTGGGAAGCATTGTTGATCACAGCTAGGTGTCAGAAACAAACTAGAAAATTGGGAACTGCTTCAACATTGACAGGAAAATAATATATATAAAAAAAGAACTTATATCACCTACTAAAAAGAAAAAGAAAATAAGAGATAATAAAAGGCTTTCAGGTTTTCTTTGGGACATGTCAATGAAAAATAATGCAAGCAAGTACGAAAGAAAGCACTGAAATGGAATCCTCTCTGAAGGTATCTTGGGGAGAGGGGCTCATTGTCCCATCCTTTTCACATCAAGAATTTAATTTTGCATTCTCTTTGTCAGTCTTGAGATATACAATATGCAGTTATTCTACACTGGTTACTTTTTCTTTCCTTTCATCCACTTAGGTAGTCTATACTGGCAGAGGGACAGCCAGAATGGGAGAAATCTAGCCATGAATTAAATCATCCAGCTCTCCCTTGCCAATCTGATTTTTACCTACATTTTGAACTTACTCAAAGGCAAAGTGAGACCCTTTTTTTTTCCTGAATACTAAAGAGAACTGCAGTTCTTCTATTTCCCTCATTTTTAATTCCTTTTATTGACATCTACTTTTACAGAAAAAATATCTCTCTGGAGCATTCAGGTTTCATTATGCTTTTGCTACGCAGGATGCAGATATACCTTATAGAACTTGATCACTTATTTTCTGATCTTTCACTTTAGGCAACTTGAAAAAAAAGTACCAGCTTGTATTTTCCTTCTGGAGACACCTACCCTAAGATGTTATTAGCAGAACATTAAAAACCCCAAAATGCCTTTTGCTTTTTAGTGCCAGGGACGTTCTGGTTCCTATGTATGTATTCTGTTTACACCCATCCCCCATGAATTCCTAAGACAGTTTCTCTTATATTAAGCTTCCTTCTGGTGCCCATAGCAACACCATCTAGTACTGAAATGTTCCTGCAGGATTTGCAGGAGTCCTTTCAAAACAAGATGCTGATTCTGCAGTTATTGCACACCCAGCTACTTATATCAGATTCATTGTCTGAGCCCTCAGTTGTGCGTGGAAGGCAATTCAGCTGACCATTGACCAGCCTCAGCGTCATTAGTGATGAAACATTAGGTACGTTCTGGTTTGTTTGGGTTTTCTCCCCACAAAAACAACCAACTTTTTTATTCTTTGCAGTTTACTTAACTGTGTGAAGAAATCGCAGAAGGTGGCAGGGGCTTGGAATTTGAGATTGTTCTTTGGTTTATTTATATTTCTTTACCTGCAAATGCACTGACATGCAAATTGGCATCTGCCTGCTGGTCGATGCTTCAGGAGCCACTTTCTGCTCTTGAAGGCAACGATGCAAAGAGGGAAAAAGTACATTTGGCTAAAAAACAACCTGGGAGAAGTTCATGGGAAGTCCCAATGGCTAGCTCCTGCAGCCCAGGAGCTTTTAGCAGAGCTCGTTCACTGCGAGCCTGGGTCCTTTGGGACACCTGGTAGGGGTCAGAGCTGCCCATACTGAGCTGGACCTCAGCAGGCACTGCGGATACACGTGGTGAAAAGAAAGGGAAAGGCCTGTGCCATTGCCACTGCTCCTGTTCCCCTGCATGTGCTGAGACTGAGGAGGTCAAAAACAGCTGTGGGAGCTGGTCTGCTTCCATGCCTTTCCCCTGCATGCTGGAGATGCCAGCAGAGTCCAGAGAGGTGGAGAAGGCTGAGGACCTACACTAAGGTGTGCTTGAAGACTCAGCCTCCTGTTCCAGGTCTTCAAGCTGAAGACGACAAATGCTGTTCCCAAGCATGAGATCCATGCCCATTATCAGTACCAGCCATTAACATGATTTTGTCTAAAAAAAAAATAAATAAAAGGGAAGGATGAGGGTAGTGATTGACACTACACACTTTGTTCATTCATTCTGAACACGGCATTTCATTTAAATTCTGTGTTGTGCCACGCTGTGTGCTAGGAAATGTACCCTAGGATAATTTTAAAGCTATAAAAGTTCAGTAAATGGAGACTTCCCGGCAGGACTCAGCTATTAAATCTTTGTTGGAAAGTAGGAGCCACATCCATTAAAAAAATCATATTCTGGTGAGACTAATCACATCCTTGCACTGCTAAAGTATGCTTGTATTCAGATGTTAATCACATAAATATTCGGCAGTTATACGTTGTGTAGAACAAATGCCACAAATTGGCAACGTTAAAAAACCCCTTATCACTGAAGGTATCTTGAGAACATGGAAATATCCGGGTCATGTTCAGGGTGATGGCAGAACATTTGCCACGGTGAGGCAAGAAGAATCCCTTCCCTAGCCATCATTTAGCAAGAGAAAAGTTCACCCAAAGTGCAGCTGCTCTAACCTGTGTTGCACACAATGGCACAGCCTGAGCAGTGCTCCCTCCTCTGAGCAAGGGGGCCCTGGCCAGGCACCGTCCCCCTACCTGGGGACCATACCAACAGCGCTCCAAGAGAGAGCTGGATGTTGCCAGTGGATGTAAAAAGGACATAAGGTTTGGGCATCCCTTATACAGAAAGTGAACAAGGGATAAGAGCCCACCCAGTCCTGCTGGTGCTCTGAGAGATGCCTTACGTGCTGCTGGCAAGGAGTCAGATTCAGGTGTGCAGCAAGTTTATGTTCTGAAGAGAAAAAAATGGTCTGGTAAAGGGGAGAGCTTGAAACTCCTTTGGAGGAGATGGGTCACAAATTATCCTCCCATGTGTTGCCTTTAGGAGAGTCATCCCAGAGCAGGAGTAAAACTGCACAGTGTCCTAAGGTCCAGCATGGACAAAGTTTCTTCCTTGCCACCTTCACACATACTGTGCAAAAGATACAATTCAGAGTAACCAAGAATTTAATTCTAACTGTAATTCTAAATTGACAGCTTGTTAAAGAAAGAAAGATTTCTTTATGAGACAAATATCCTCTTCAACTTGCAAGAACTGAATGACTTCTAACATTACTATTAGACAATCATATTTTCATCTGATGTCATTCTTCCTACCTAACATTAAATCCCCCATTAATGGCAATTAACACCTTATTCAGCCATTGGTATGCCTGCTTGGACAAAATCAGTATCTCTGAAAATTTATTTTGTTTCAAGGATGGCAACCTGGTGAGCATATCTAGCCCATAGAATAGTTTCTTCCACTCTCCTGGGAATACTGCATGGGCAGAGAAAATTAAAATCTGAGATAATACCGTGTGTGTTGTAGGACTGGAGGGTTTCAGGAAGGAGGGAAGGACAAATTTGCAGCCCAGCTTGGATCTGGTAGGATTTCTTTGATCATTTGTCAAGAAATGCTGCATTAACATTTACAAACTCAAGAATACCAGGTTGGAATTAGAAGCGACATCCAAATGTACTGAATTGGTTGATCCCAGCTGGCACCGACAGGACTTGATAGGAGTTCTAAACAATACAGATAAACAAAATCTAGACATTTGTTTATACACAACACAGACTATAAAAGTAATTTTTATAATTGATGTATGCTGAATCTTAGGCTTTGATTCTGTTTTGTGTTTTATTGGTTTTGGTTTTGTTTTACTCTCCTTTATATCTTACTGTTAGGGAGTATTTCTTTTATGCTAAGGAATCCCAATGCCACACAAATCTTTGAGGAGAAAAGAACATTTTTCTTGTCATGAGCTGTAAGCAGAAACTGCAATCTGAAAGAATTGTTTATCCTCCATTTCTTAAGAAAACTTTTCTTGTGGAGATACATTCATCTTGCGAAGTAAACAAATCGGCCAGTTCACACCAGGCTGCATCTTCCTTGTATTTGAGATTCTGTGGTTTGCTATTTAGGTCTCAGAAAGGTCCAAGACGTAGGGCCCAATTCATCAATGCATTTATTTTGGTTTGTGCTTGCATAAAGCTGTTCCCTTTGAGTTAATTTAAATTAGTATAAAAACTTTTCAGGACACATGCTGCCTCTTCCTGAATGTCTAGAAAGTCCCTGGAAAAACTCACAAAGAAATTTTTCTCAAGTTAGTTTCTAATGATCATAACAAATCACATCTGTATGTAATGATCATAAAAAAAATCACATCTGTGAAGGCAATGGATACTTAAACAAACAAAAAAAAAAAAGAAAAAAGAAAAGAAAAAAAGAACAAATGAGCAAAAAGAAAAAATACCAAGTGCAAGAATTATTTAATTTGAGAGCCCAGCATCTCAGGCTTGTCAGGTTGTTTTCAATGTTAAACCTTGCCCCAGTTCTTAATCCAGACTGGTAGCCTGTGCCTTAGCCCTCCTTTTAGAAAACTCTTCTATTACCTGTAGGTGCCATGAAAGAAAATCTGGGGTTTTGGCCAGTTATCGTTCCCTTTAAAAAATTCTCTCTGCTGATAATCAGAATCAATATTTACCAAGTTAAGAAATGCCATTCCTTGTCTGAACAATCTGTATGCTTGTAGCCAGTTACAACCCATCCTTTTGTTATCACTTTGCTCTGCTGAACAAAAGCAGGTTCTTTTCTTAAAATGATGAAAAATCAGAATTGTTGGTAGTATAAGTTATTTTTAAATAAGTAAAGGAGTAATCAGATGTCTGATATGCAAGTTTGGAGAATGAAGCATAGTTTAATAGGAAAGATGAGTTTTCATCCGCTGAAACCACAAATGCTGTGTGGATTAGTTGCTTTTAATCCCATTTAACTAAAGCTCCCCATTTCATTCTTCTAATCTTTCCTCATAAACAAATCCTTCCAGTCATGTTTTCTATCCTCCTTGGAATTCCTCTCTATTTGTCTACATATTTTGAGCATAAAGAGAGGCCCAGGGTGAATGTGGGATTCTAGGAGGGACTCCGTCAGCTTTGTGCTAAATCCGTAATTAAAAAGGGTTAAAGTTAATATATTTAAGCTACAACAACGAATCCACTTGATCACACATGACAACAGAAGCATTTATAATTATAATGATTGTCTTACCTCTCAAATGGTCAGACTTAGAGTGTTTAATCTGCACAGATTTGTTTTCTGTAATGAAGATATTAAGGATATTTCCAAGGCAGTGCAAATTTTGCTTGAGTTGGGGAAAGAGAATTATTTTTAAAGGGTTTCAAAATCCTATGCACTGATGATTTTGGTCTGCAAATAACAACCTCTCTCTTCTCCGCCTTCACTTTAACACTGATCTTTCTGTGTAGCAAGACCATACCTTACAGCGGTAGCCTCTTTACGCAGGCACAGAGCATGCAGGACGATGCACAGTAGCAACAGCAGCTGCAAATAATATTTTGGAAACATTTTGGTGCACTTTTACTGGAATGCTTAAATAACACAGTGGAAATGAAGAAAACCCACATGCTCATTCCATCAAGAACTAACTGAATGCAAACAGAGTTTGCCTGTGTAAATTTTATGATTTAAATGTCCCCCAAACTATGCCAAAAAACCAGCTGCATACAGGAACCCCCCCAAAGCTGTTGTCTGCAAGGGTGTAGTGTTAGACTCTGAGACACCACAGATCATGATTATACAACCCTAATCTCTTTGGTTTATTACCTTTCTGACCTGTAACCAAAGCTGAATGTATTTTTAAAGTCAAGAACACTATCCATGCAACTTGTTTATTAAAAAGGAGCATAGCCCCCATTCCAATTACATTCTACTTTTTGACAAGCTGTCAATAAACTTGCTCCTTCTGTTACCACCAATGGGCATGAACATACCACTTCAGAACCCCTCTCTTACATTGGGACCCCAACAGGGTAATGACAGTTCCCACCTTACAAAAAGTCTCATATGTGAAAAGCTTCCCCTGGGCACAAGTTCTCAGTACTTTGTATTGTCAGATTCACAGGCACAGGGTTCAGAAAGTTTAGGGTTTGGGGCTATTTTTTCCTTGCCAGTTATGCTGTGGAATTAATCCAAACTGGCTAACTTGTGAAAATAAATTGTGTTCTCTCTGAAGACTAATTTAGCGGTACAAAGCTCATATGCTTGTGTACATTCCTCCCCCCCCCCCACCTGCATAAGTACACACACACACACATTTACATGAGTAGATTAACTGCATCTAAAACTCAATTACTTATCTGTATGCACGCGTGTTATTAAGATTTATGAAGACTATGCATAGATTTAACTACACGTTCTACTTATATTTTTAAAAATTTGGATCAAAGTATGGTCCTGGTGCTCTTTATCCCTCTACTATTTACCTACACACCATGAGCATGTGATATTCATTTGTATATGGTATATACAAGTGTCAGAGAGAAAATGTATGTAGGTATATCTGTCTATATATCTGTATATGGCCATCATGCATTATTTATAAAATGAGTTTATTGCATATACAAACAATAATTATTCTAAACATGCAATTATATATCCATATTTGTGTGTCTATATAGATTTTTTTGTCCTTAATGGAAAACTTGAACTGCAAGCAGCCATGTCAGAACTCAGATGGTTAACATTCACTTCTTGCTGTTTTATTGCATATTACTGTGCGCTCCTGAGCAGCAGGAGCAGATTCAGGCAATTACAATCAAGTCAGGGCACACGCCGTGGCTGAGCAACACGATCATGATGAGGATACTGATGAGGCACTTATCGAAAACCCCACATCATCCACACTCATCAGCCACAACATGTCACCCCAAATGAGGCATCAGCTGCCTTCAAATGGCTCATTGCACACTGTTTACAGCTTTCTTTGGACCCACTTTTGATTTTGCGGTCAGGACTTAGTTCAAACAGCAGCTGACTGGCACTGGCAAGCCTCGGGATTCAGCAGAGATGACTTCCAGGAGTCAGGAGTGTTTTGACACGGGGCCTGACCGACACAGAGAAAAGGTCCCAGCTCAGTTCCCCCCAAACACTGGTCCCTCTGAGAGGAGAGGGGAGTTATGTCGGGCAAGGAGGGGCAGTGCGAGAGGGGGGGAAAGCAAACAAACAAACAGTCCCACGGCGCTGTCTGATATTTTTTATTTCCTGCCTCCATCCTAACGAGTGGCCAGCGACAGGAATTCAGGCAGAAACAATTTGGACCAGATTCCTGTCATTTCTGGGACCCCTAAAGCCACTTTGACAATGTAAAATGGTCCTTAAAGTGGGGATGTAAATTATGGGTTCTCTATTCAAATTTGTCTTTTTGTGGGAATTGCACTAAACTGGGCACAAAACTTTTCCTGGGCCTCAGACCTTTCCCCATTATTTACTGGGATTCAGGAAGACTTTTCTTGCCTATTTAGTTCTTTCTGCAAAAAGAAGGGAAACAAGAAAGAATAAACGAGGAAGGGCGAGGATACACGGATAGATCCTAGAGATCAGCCGTCTGCTTGAGTGGGGGTCAGGAAAGACCCAAAAAGGAACAACTCCAAATTAGGGAGACTGAGAGAGACTCCCTCCAGCCCAGCTGATTGGCACTTGAAAGAGGAGTTTAGAGACTCACTGGAGTTGGAAACACCACATCCAGACCCTTGCCTATATCAAGTGGAGTGAGCACTCTGAGGTGGAGATTGGTTACTCCTGAAGAACACAGCCCTGGGCTAAACTAGAGCTGAGACGCTTTCTCCTGCCACCACTGCCTAGAAACACGTATTTCTGCTGCACAGATTAAAACTAATTTGTTTTGACAAATAAGAGATTTTTCTGATGAGAAAGTGCTGCATCATGGAGTCCCTGACACTCTGCCAAAGAAAGGTGAAAGGACCTTAGGGTGAACAGAAATCTAGTCCTTGAACTTCAAACATTAGTTGATGCAAACATATACTAATCAATTACTGTCAGTTAGTATCATTTTATGTGACAGACTGGAAAAAAATGAAGCTATTTTACTTCACCACTCTTTCTCTTCTATCATAAATATATATATAAATTTATATATGTAAAAATAATTTATTAATTTATGGCAATGACAAATATCAAAATTCCCAGATAATTGGCTTCTATACCAATTAAAAATCTTATTTTACAAATAGACCAGCCTATGAACTGAAAGCTGAAGTTATTCACCCAGTTTTAGACGGCCAGCTCAGGCCTCTGAAGTAAATCATTAGACAATACTTCCTGTTCTGATGATTGTTCAATTAAGATGTGGGAATATACCTATATATATCGTTACCTTTATGGTTGCTGTCTGCAGCCTGCGCTGTCTGCCTCAATAGTTTTCAAATTCCAGAACGCAGCGCGCTCCCTCCGGATGCCAAATTGTAACAGCATACTGCATCATGAAAACATCTGAAGCAAAAATAGAGGATCCATGCAGGTTTCCATACATTTGTACATACATCTTAGAGCTGTTTTCCTTGCTGCTTTCATTTCTAACCTGTGTTGAAACACGTTTTTTTCTCTTAGGGACAGATTCTTCCTACTGCTCACAAAGATTTTATTTAAAGTTAGAGGAAAAACCATTTTCCAAAAAGGCAAAATAGGTGGTCCCAGGAGAGACAGAAATTAGTTTGTACGATCTGTTTATCAGTCTTATTTACTAAAACATTTTCTTTTTTTTTTTTTTTTTCATTCCCAGTAATAGAAAATGTTCTTAGGCAAATCCTAAACCCGTTAATTTCCTCAGAATAGCTTAAACTTATTGGTAGGACTCCTATCATGCTATCTTCTCTGCGGTGCTCAGCAATATAAGCAGGGGGAGGAGGTAAGGAGTGTGCGTGCATTAGGATGGCACAGCATAAAATCCCTCAAAACTGCTTGACCGAAATAAAATTGAGCTACTCGTGCACAGCGCTGCAAAGACACGAAACTCTGTGTGAATGATGCTAGATAAGAACTGAAGCACCGGTGGTAAAGCATCCTAATTACAAACCTGCGGTGCAGGCAGAATAATGGACAGAGTGGCAGCTCTGGTGGCTGTGTAAAAAGGAGTGGAAGTTTGCATTTTTGTGGCTGTATCTTGAATTGAAGTGTGTGTGTGTATGTGTGTGAGAGGGAGGAGGTGGGAAGGGGGGAGAGAGAGAGAGAGAGTAAAGAACTGTTTTTGGGTCATCATCTTACGCTCTTTGTGATGCACATTCTAATTTAGGCAAAAGGGATGCATCTTTCAAATGCAGATCATGTTTGCATTAGAAGAGCAATGAGAACACTTGTCACTTTCAGAACATTTATGTGCTAGAAGTACTGTTAGCAGAAGAGCAGTTTAGATAAATTCAAGACTTTTTTTTGCTGATCACAAACATTAAGCTTCACACCTGAAACCCTCAACCCCCTGCTGTGCTCTAATCCTAGCACCATTCACCCTTAGAGACTCAAAGTGCTGTGCCACTGCTCTCAAACATTTGATTGCCCTTACTTTGAATGCCACCACCTGCAAAAATGCCTTTTTATTCCCTTTGAGCCTCTTGAGAAGGAAGTAAAAATGATAATTCATGACAAACATTAATTAATTGTTTACAAGATGATCTTTTCTTTTTCTAACTTCTGTTCAGCAGACATGTTGAGCTGCAAGACTCCACGCTTGATGCCAGAGCTTGTCAAGAGGTCTGCATTGTTGTTTATCACTCAGGCATAGGATAGACTGCAGGTCATTGTTTCTGCAGTTCAAGTAGGACTGTCTAGCTCTTGTTTGAAGAATGGAAGTGCCATGCGTGAGTTCCCCAGTATAAAAGAACTACCGGTTCTAAGAAGGAACAGGGATTTAGCTTCTAATGCAAAGTAAATAAACATTTTTCACCATCTCTTGCTCCATGTGATTTTGGAAAGGTCAAGAGATGCCATTACAGTATTTTAAAAGCTCCAAATTATGTTTAAATAACCTATCACTAAACTCAGAGAAATCTTATCAGAATTTAAGAACCTATTGTGGTTGTTTTAGTTCTTGAATTCATCATCAGAGCAAGACGTATTTTGAAAGGAATGTGCTGTTGTTAGGACGGCTGAGATTCACTCAAGGCTTGGGCTCAGCCTCTCTGAAAAGCTAAAGCATAACACACAACACCCCCACACCCCCCAAAAATACAGACATGATTTAACTGTCTACTTGAATTCAAGAATTAATTCTACCAGAGATGTTACACCATGCTAGCAAGTGACCCACATATCCCAGTAAGAGTCTAAAAGAGAAAAATGCACTCAATTTTAAAACAACACCACCAAAACATTGGGCAGCAAAATTTAGCTCTCCACATTACACTTAGGCAGCTAAAGGTAAGCAAACAGGTTTGCAGAGAAGATAAGCTGCTGCAACCTGGATGAAATAATTAGAAAATGTGGTGAACAGCATCTTTGCAAATCAGACTTCTTATTTACTCATTCATTTTTTAACACATATAAACATATTTTTATTTACACAGATGTAAGCAGACATGTGTTGGACACATTGCTCTGTTCCTCTTGTAACAAAACAATTCTGAGAACTTTAAACCACACCAAAAGTCTGGAAAAAAGGTAAAGAGAGTGAAAGGTCTTACTTGTAGGAAGTGTACAGTAATACAGCTTCTTGCAGAACTCTGGTTTCCACGTTCCAAATTAGGAGCCCTTAGATCACGGCTGGAAGGGTAAAAATCAATGCTATATTTTCTGAGTCAATACTACAGGTTGCACTTAACAGACATGGAGACTAATAAGGTATGCAGAAGGAGTAAAAGCAGTGCACAAAAAATTCAGGCCTTCATCTTGGCGACGATCCAGCACAATGATGTTTCAACCAGATTTGAAAAAAAAAAAAATCAATAACATCTGTGGTATAATGGTTAATTAAAGAAGCTCTTCAGCAAAGCTCAAGATGAGAGGCTCGGCCTGAAATTCAGACAGCTGAAGCTTGATTATCAGGAAAGAATGCTTTTTTAGCTGTGAGTGGATAGGCCAAAAGCTGCAATGTGTGGAAACGGGGAAAAAATTGCTTTTATTTTAACTTTCTTTAAGTAATCAATACATGGTTTTCACCTGCATTAGGAGCTGTTTCAAGCAAAAGCCTCTTTCTATACATCTGTATAAATATAATCCACTCCCTTTGGAATCCATAGATTTAAGAACAACAGCAACGATAAACAGTTTGCCTGCCTGCTCTTAATTCACAAATTCTCCACTTTCCCTCCCCACCCCCAGCACCTCTGGCTGTGCCTTATGTGCAAAACCCATCCTGTGGCAAATCCCTCCAGCTACATTCTCTTCTTATTTAGTTTAATTTTTAAGACCTAAGCCTTTCAAGACTGAGCCTGAAAGAAATTAATCAAAAATTGAATGTTAAAGAATAGTAATATCTCCAGTAACCAGACAATTCTACCATCAGCCTCTGCACCTTTTTATCTGGTTCTTTCTATTCTTTCATTTGTCACCTCTATCTAAAATATATATGCACAGATTTACAGCCAGAAGGGACTATCTTGATACCTTGCATAACACGAGACAAGGGTTTCCAGCTGGTAATTCCTGTGCATTGTCTATATTCTAAGGATGAGCAGAAAGATACATAGTTAAAAAAAAACAAAAATTAAAATAAAATCCTGATTTAGAGATTTCAAATGACAGAAAATCCACTCCATCTCTTGGCAAGTTGTTCTGAAAGTTAATTAGCATCACTATAAAACTGCCTTATTTTTAGTTTGATTTTTTTTCTACCTGTGTCTTAGTCTGCAAAGTTCAAGAGCCCTGGGCTATCAGAAATCATTTCTCTGTAGAAATTACAGACCATGGTCAAGCCTGCTCTTCATCTTCTTCTGGATAAGCTGAAAAAGATGGCACCCCTTTACCTTCTTACTGTGGACAGACTTTCTTACTGTAGACAGATTTCTCAGATTTTTTTCTTGTAACTTTTCTATGTCAGTGTGCTTTTCAAGAGCAGGTAGACAAACACAAGCTCTTCTTCCAGTAGCAATCCCGGTAGTGCTTAATATCAGACCTCTGGCATCTACTTAGTTTTCCCCTATTGATCCATCCAAAAACTTCTCATCTGTGAACTACCACACTAGCAGCTCAATTATTTTTAGCCCAAATTATTTCAACCCTTTTCTCCAAAATGCATGTCTCTGCCTTAAAAAAAAGAGCAACATTCTTTATTCCAGAAAATGAAAATACCATGTTATAACAAATCTTGTTAGCAAAAGAACAGCTCTGCAAGTATAACAATCCTTTCATTCTGCAATGCTAAGAGAAACATCTCCCACATATTACAACTGTCAGGACCTATACTTTCTATTTTCCAGGAAATTCTAAAAAGGAATTCAAACAGATGGCAAACATTTTTTAAGTTAGTCAGAAAATTAAGTTTCAGGTAGAAAGTTTTTTCTGGGTAATCAATTATTTATTTAAATAATTTGAACATTTAATTCAATTTGTTATTTTAAAATTAATATTGCTTCTGTTTACATATTGCTTCTTAAAACACACACAAAAATTAATTATCAAAACCTGTTCCAAAACGTTAAAATAAGATTTTCCAACACTAGCACAGTGTTTCCTTTCTTTTTTCCCGGGTGCAATCTCTTGAAAGCATTACTTTTTCCAGACTTTACAAATCAAACATAAACAAAAAAAAAAAAGATTATAAAAACCAATTTAACTCACACTAACGGACATGTAAGTAGGCAGCTCTTTCTTTTTAAGCTGTAAGGCACAAAGTAGCAGCAGAAATAAAATCAGTTGTTTCTCGAACTCAGAATTTTCAGGGCAGGGCTTCCAAAAGCAATTGGGGTTGATTTACTTACACTTCCATTTAAATCAATGTTAGCTTTATGTCTGTTTTCAAAGGGAGCAGACCTAAGTCAAGAGAAAGTGCAAAGTAAACTCCTGCCCCCTCAAACTTTCTGTCAGAATTCTTCAGATTCCTTTGGAGTTCAAGTGGAATTTTCCTCAGCAAACAACATACCCAGTGCAAAGATCTTTTATGTCATCAGCATTGAAGAAATGAAAACATCAGCAAGTACATATTTGGAAATATAACTGTGATCACAGTCAAACCCAAAGGAGACAGATATCTTTAAGAAATAGCACCTGACTTAGTCCATGTCAGACTGTCTCCATCGGTGCCTTTTGTAGTATGCATTTTTTTTTTCCAAATTAAGTTTTGTCTGATATTCATACATAATATCCAAGAAACACACATTCACCTTTTTTTTTTTTTTTTTTTGACAAGAAAGGTTCCCCATCCCTCAGAGCTGTGTTGCAGCCCTTCAGTGTTAACTGTTCTCTGCCATGATTGCAAGCTCCTGCAGGCACTGGATCATTTCCCGTTACTCTGTCTTACTCAAGGTGAGAAGAGCACTGGTGAATCCTCCTTGTTCTCCCACAGCATCCAGCAGAGCCAAACACTTCACTAATAAAATATTTCTGCCTGTAGACCTCCTCACATGAATTGACAGCTCTTCACTCTACAGTACCCCCCAGTGAGATCCCTTGCAAGGGTCCTCTGAACAGGCAGAGTCTGCCAAGCTATGACACACTAAAATGGTGTAATTTTTAAACCCAGCCCTAATAATGAACTGGCATCCAGCTAGGTCCATCAGCCCTACCTCCCACAGTTCCATTTAGGTCATTGAGTAGGTCATTATTATTTGGCATGTGTCATGCATACTCGTTCTTCTAGGGAGAATTCCTCAAAGAGAGGACCAGGCCCTTCATCCAGATGAATGATGGCTATAAAGGCTGTGAGAGCAGGCAATGGAGTTAGCACTGGACTAAGGGTTTGAGGCAGTCACATTGGCATTGGTCATGACAATAATGCTCTCTGAATCATCTAAGAGGCCCAGGAGCCAGACACCTGGGATGGCATGAAGATTTTATGTCATCCACATATACTAATGAGCATCAAGAGATAACCTTGAACTTCCCTGACCTTTGCGAAGTCTCTAGCAGCACCTCAACATCAGGCTGCCTTTCGTCTCCTTTCCCTAAGAACATACACACTAGGAAACAAGCAGACCACAAATGCACTTCACACACTGTAGCCCACAAAAGAGATGCCAAATGTATCTTTAAGTCACCACAGAGCATCTAACTTCTCTGAGACAGAAGAGTAACTCAAAATGTGCATTGCAATAGTTGCCCCAGCCTGCAGGCAGAGCATACTCTGCTACTTGCCTTGGTCTGAGAAAGGAGAGGTTTGTGTTTTCTCTTCCTTCTTTAGACTGAATAAAGAAGCCATGATAGATGTTTGCATCAAAAGAGGAAACAACTGGTATTGGATGATCAGATGAAATTCCAATGTGTTACTGGTTTTGATGTTTTAGCTCTGTATTCTTAGGGAAAGTGTGCCAAAGGAACACTTCTGATCTGAATTAATGAGAGAGGTAAATTTCAGAACTAAACTCTGCAGTTCAGCCTCTGAACTCTAACTAGCAAAACAAGATTCAGCACAAGATCCTCCCACACTGCTTCAAATAAGCACACATGGGTATGCACACACTTGCAAAGTCTGAGGCAACAGAGCAGCTGGCAAAATCAGAAATTAACAGCCAAACTGCATTCCAAAAGAGCTCTTGCTCAACAGCCTCTCCTTAAAAGTCTAAGAGCCACATGCCTCCCTGATAAAAGATACCTCATTTCTGTCTGTTGTTTCTGTACCTCTGTTTTGAACTCTGCAAGTTTTCATGCTTCAGTGTTTTGGAGAGCACTGTATGAACTGCAGTGAAAAATGACAGGTAAAAGCTGATAGAGGTGTTAATAGGATCTACCAGGGTCAGAGAGGCAGGGAGGTAATGGGTCTCTTTATACAAATGCATCCAAAAAGCAGAGGTTTCTGTTTAAAGAATGAGCTGCTTTTAATTTTGCCTGATTCATCTGCGTCCTGATTCATATATCCAGATTGATGATGTCACCCCCATCAGTGCAGAAGAAACACAGAGCAAGAGGCAGACCTCTGCTATCTTTGCAGAAATCCAGAGCAAGTCTGTTGACTTCTGGGAGTTACTCAGGGTTTACAATGAAATAAATGAGAGCAGAATCTAGCCCATGAAAGCATAAATTCAGCTGTTATCAGGCACAGTCTTAGAATTCACTATTAATATCTACACTGAGAGCTATTCTGATTACAATTGCAAAATAATATTTTATATCCACTTTTACTATCTTATTCAAATACAGGAAATGAGTCAATCTTCAGAGAACAGAAAGACCAGTCAAAGGAACTGGAGAGTCAAATAATTCAGCATCCAACTTTGAAGTGAAGGAAAGGAAAACTGATTCCTGCAAATAGCCTGCAAGTGGGTCTGTTAACATATTGCTAAAGGTCATACCCACAGACTCGCTCGGCTGGTGGTTTCAGTTGTTGTCTCCAAAGCACACACAATCATGTGGATGCCCCACTTCACTAAATGCAGAATGGGCATAAACACTGGTGAGCAAAAAATGACCACCAAAATCTTCCTGCAATAATTCATTGTGAAGTAACTTGGTATTCTCTAGATGAAGAAAAGTGAGTATGGTACCTTCAACCTGCATCATAAGCATTTCTATTCAATGTTAATTATAGCTCTCTTAAATTTGGGAGTTTTGAGTACTAGTATGTTTTGTATAGCTCCCACTTAAAGATGCATTTTTTTATAAAATACAGCTAGACCCAACTCACTTGCTTTTCACTATAAACAAAGTGTTAAAAATAGAAACCAAACCACTTGGCCTTCCCTAGTGCAAAGGCTTGAGCCGGCTCTGCTCTTGGAGCTCAGACTCTCTTTTTCTTTAATGGTGTTTTACAGACATGGCTCAAGCAAGAGGCAGCAACTGGTTCTACTTTTACCCCTTATTTTTCATTGAAAGCCCATGCTTTCTAATGCTTTTAAGAAATCCAATTCTTCATACTTACATCATGTGCTACTTTTCACTGATACGTGAGTGAAGCCCTGGAGGTAAAAGCAGGCTTAAGGGAAGGCTGGACAAGTCTGTCCAGGACTTTGCATGAGTGCTGGTTCACTATGTGCCAGTAGTGCTACCAAGAGCAGAGTTTAAACTACCTGAGAGGCTTCTATAGGACATCCAGAGAATTAAAATAAAGGGACACGGGAGCCAGGAAGTGACGACGTCTAAGGAATCATCAGGAAATAACCCTAATAAGGTCTTAGCTGAGGACCCAGGAGCTGTGTGAAAGAGCTCTTGT